CCTTCATATGAAGCTTGTCCTTCATAGAGGCATCCGGTGGGCTTCGGTGCCAGTTTTCTTGAAATCAAACAGCAGGAGAAGTTCCCGCCTCGGAAACGGTTTATCACGTTCCATGACCAATCAGTCTGAGAGCAACAGGATTTTGGGACAAAACTGATCTGTCTGCCCCTAAGTAGGTAGCCAATACCCTACCTTACAGAACATGACAGGTTTCACCGGTGAACTTCTGACATGTTTCGCGCAACGGCCCTTGGAATTTGGCGGCGGAAATTAATGCACACACCTAATACATGCAGGATTTAAAGGGTTGTAAAGGAGTAAACATAGAAAAAAACCTCGTCATTAATGACGTAGGATGGTCAATTCCCTAGAGCACACGAGCTATTTAGAGACGTGAAATCAATTTATACACATATTAAATTTTTGCTCTTGTAAGATTGGTGAATGATGTGATCAGCTGATCGTTGTAGAGGACATCATAGTACGCAGGAAGAGGCGATGCTCCAGCAGCTTCCGAGTACTCTGAATATTATTTCATCAATTGTATGTAGACGTCCTCGGAGGAGGTGTGACGTTGTATTCTTTATGAAAGAACTTTTCTGAAGTCCAATAAGATAGGCATTTAGGATGCTAACGATTCTTTACATTATATAGTTTCATGGTATGTATGGATTGCAAAACTTTTAGCAAAATCTTTCTAATAACGACTTTTTACCATTTCCTGAACCCTCAACCACAGTTACGAACCACAGTTACTTCGGAGGCTCCACTCCACGTTTATCGCCAGATCCCTTCGCACGGGTGCATGACCTCCCGATTCGTTCGCTCTCTTTTCCCGTGTCGATTCGTGGGAAATCCGTCACCAACCAATAGAGGGCCTCTTCTGGAAGTGCCTTCGATCCAGGACATCATCGCCTTCCGTCAGCACGCAGAACAGCTCACCATGGAACTTTTAGACCACCGTTTCCGCGACGATTCCGACGACTTATCATCCCTGCCACGAACTCCATCCGGCACTCCTTGTACACTACTGTATCCTCCCTCCCGTCAGGGAGCCCTGCCAGTACTTTACCAAGTCGTGAACAGGAACTACGGACAAGGCG